CTGACTTGTTAATTTTAGCCATTCTGACTGGTATGAGGTGGTATCTCTTTGAGATTTTGATTTGGATTTCCCTGATGCCAAGTGATGTTGAGCACTTTTTCATGTGTCTATTGGCCATTTGGATATCTCTCTATATATTCTTATCTTCTCCGATTGTATTGTAAGATTTTTGAAAGCAGGCACTAGGTCTTACTCCTCTCTGTCCCCTCCCATGGTCTGTGCAGAGCCTAGCTTATACTAAGGTTCAGTACCCTCGTTGCAGAGAATTTAATAGATCAGCTCATTCTGATTCTTGCAAGACATGTACGGTGTGTGACTTCAGCCTCATATTTCTAAGCAAGTTTGGGATTTTGTTAGTAGATTTGTGCCATTTACTTCTAAGATGTGAAAAGCATCTTTTGCCTGTGGGTTTGTTGTTACTTTCAGAGTACAGTATTCTGACTTGGCCTAAGTTGCCATGATTTCTTTTTTTAAATGTAACAACTGTTTTTATTTTGATTCTTTATGATACAAAATTCATCATCTTTTGAGGGAGCTGGAATTAGGATATTTTTCCAGAGTCAATAAGTGAAAACTCCCAACTCCTTATGTTATGCTTGGAAAGATGAAACTGTTCCTGGTGCTAAGCTTTGAAAGACCAAATCACTCCCAAATCTCAGACAGCTGAAATGCAAAACATCATAAAATTAAGTTGTTTATGTTGCCTTTGGGCATTTTCCCTTGTCCTATAAAAGATGGACATAAAAAGGATTCCTGATGATTTTTTCATGTTTTTAATGTGTGTACAGAAATCCTAATGTCTGTTTACTTTAATGCTAGTATTTGAAGCTGTGTTCAAGTTAATTATCAAGAAAAATGCATTGCCTATTTAATTTTCAATTGTGAAGGCACAGTGGAATGGAATGAGTCAGTTTATTCTGATTTCCTGCTGGAAGTTAATGGACAAATGTGGACATGATAATGTGATAAGTAGAATTTTTAGTCTGAAGTTCCCATTTCCACAAGCAATAGCCTTGAAATGGAGGATGGGAAACATTTGCTCTAATAGATTCAGTGAAGCACATGATTTGAGTATCAGCCATCATAAAATGAAAAGGACCCAAGTCATTAATTCTTTCAGATCTCCAGCTGGACCATTGGCTCCTGACATAAAGTGCTGGGAGAAGGATTCCTTCGTTAACAAGTGTATTACTTAGTGGGTGTTTTGGGAAAGTCTGTCCGTTCTGTGTCTCTCCCATCAGGAGCACCTTCTTTAGCATCC